TATGCTACGTTCCCACTACATATTGGGTTATACCTGGATTTGATGTTCAAACTATATCTAGTTACCTACCGCATTCATCCCATGTCTTACCGTCAAACCTTGGTAACTCCCAAATTGGTTCATTCAGATAATTATAATTTATAAATTATTTTAATTTAAATAATATATAATTTAAATATTAAATTAATTTAATTTTTTATAGTTTAAAATTATTTATTTTCTCAACAATTAGAATTATTAACAACTATATTATTAAAACATCAAAGAGACAATAATGAATATTTATTAGATCCTGAACAATTTCAACAAATGATTGAATTAAGTGAACCAAAATTAAAAGAATTTTTTAATGAAATGATTAATGCTTTAATTTCAAAAAAACAGCTTATTAAAAATATAGAAAAAGCAAAAAAACAAGTAGTTGCATATTGTTATTTGTTAGTTGGAATAAGAAATAAATTTGCAAATAATTTTAAATTAGATCTTGGACTTTATTTACAATCATCAGGAATAACTAATTCTGGAATTAATACATTATCAAATATTGAACTTAGTGTTTATACAAAAACAATTCAAAGATATAAAAAAGATATTGCAAAAGCTCATTTAACAAAACTTAATGAATATTTTGATTTACATATAAGCTATAATAATTTAAATTTTTTATTTATTTTTTAATCTTAAATTTATTAATCAAAATTATTATTTTTAGTCAAATATTTTTTATTGTTTTAATATTAATGATTTTCATGATATTTATAAAAAACGTAGACCAAATACAACATCACTTAATACTATAAATCATATGGCAACATGTGTAGCAAATAGAAATACAAGTCAACTGTGGATGATCATATAAATAGCAAATCTCATCAAGAAAATAAAACCAAGGCCAAACAAAGTTCTGTACATACATATCAAAGAACTTTACAAACTACATTAAGTGCTAATGATAATAGACGAGCTATTATCAAGGATTTAGTTGAAGTAATGGTAATAGCCAATATTTTCTTAGAAAAAGTCAATCATTTATATCTATTTTTGCAAAAATACTGTCGTGAAGGGGAATCAATCCCTAGGCATCAACTCTTTGACAAGTTTACTTATCTGATATTTTTGAAAATCATATGGTGATGCTTAAAATTTTGTTTAGTGAAAAATCAGTTTCTATAATTATAGATGAGACAACAGATAGCTGTGGCAGAAAGGTTGTAAATACTTTATTTATATATCAGGAGCATACAAAACTCGTATCTGTAGATTTTTGGTAGATGTTAATAATACTACAATTGGTCAACTTCTTGTTAGTATTTTGGCATACTATAGTATTTCATATAATATACTACATCTTTTTTTATCAAATTCTGCTTTGTATATAAAGAAATGTTATCAGAGCATTCTTAGACCCTTGATACCGCAATTAATTCACATGTTGCATACATATTATCAATTTATTTAGTGAAACTTGGTTTAATTTTTTTCATTTTTCAATTATTAAAAAATTTTTATTTGATCTTAAGGCTATTTTTGTTTCTAGTCTTGCCCGTAGAAGTCGCTATGTAATATTTTTAAAAAATCATAGAATTTTAGTATCACAAAAGATTCCACTTCCAGTTATTACCCATTGGAACACATGGTTTGAAATGATTTATTATGTTTTTGATCATCTTTCTTTAATTCATAATTTTTTTAAAGAAGAATTAAAAAATAACCTAACCGATAGTATTGAAAAGATTTTATTTACTTTAGCAATTCTAATGATTTGGGTTTAATTAGTATTTACCTTCATTTTATTTCAATTTATTCATGGGAATTTGTTTATAATTTAGATTTTTTTCAAACCCGAAACAAATTCGTTTTTCCTTTAGTGTATAGCCGATTAGAGCAATTATCAGCCTATCTTCAATCAAATTGTAATTCTGATTTTTTTTCTACTGAATTAGATAACACTATTTATCAACATAAGGGTGATCCTATAGAATTTTATTCTATATTTCATGAAGTATTTAAAATTGCATTTAAAAAATTCGATTCTTATATTAATGCCCACCTCGCATATTCTTTATTCAAAGCATGTCAAATATTTGATCCTTCTTATATTAGGTTTGGTTTATTAAATAGAAAAAATATTCATCAGTATTCTGTTATCTGTGAATTAGCTAATCCTTCAGATCAAATATTAAGTGAATGGGCAATTTATTGTGGAGAGACAGGTAATGAAATAATTGAAAATTTAGACTTTGATATTTTTTGGAAAAATAATGTAAGCAAATTGCTATTGTTATCTAATATAGCTTTAGATTACATTTGGTTGCTTATATCTAGCTGTAGTATAGAGCGTAGTTTTTCTATTTACAATAATATTTTAGCTAGTGATAGACAAAATCTTTCTGAAGTTTCGCTTAAATCATTAAATAGGATATATTTTAATAAATAAAAAAATACTTGTGGCATATTGCGAACTTATAAAATTAATAAACAGAATATTGCAGATTTAAAATTTTATTACCGAATTTTGCAGAATTACTTATTTTTAAAATTGCAGAATTATTGCAGAAACTACGAATTAATAACTACAGAATTTGAGATTAATTGCTGCAGAAAATCATCGTCCCTGTTCTGGAGCAGGGAACAGAAGAGACTGTCCCAAGTATGCCTGAGTTTGTAGATTATTACACAAGCAATTCAATTGATCGAAAAATTTTTTTATATATTTTACAGTACTTTTTTCAGAAGCTCGAGTACAGTAAAGTGTACTAATTAAACTTGAAGTTTTCGTGCTATACTATAACAATATTAGTTGAATCCCTTTGAATCCTTTGACCTTCATATTATATTTGTCCAATAAAAAAATGTCCGATTCTAAGAGTTGTATGAATTGCAAAACCACTGGGCCAACTAAATTCCGCTTTTTGAAAGACAAAAAGTGGAAGGAAGCAAAAAATAATGGGTTAACTCAGATAATGTGAAAAAGTGGTGGTATATTATATTATAATTGCTATATGAATTTTGTAGAAAATCTGCTATGAAGAGATGCTAAACAAGTTAAAGTTTCAGTTGAAAAAGTTGAAGTTACAACTAGAAAAGAAGTTAAAATTACAAAGAAAGATGTAGAGACTATGACAGAAGATGTGAGGACCATGGATGGGGAGGTAAGTACAATTGACCTTGTCAGGGCTATAGAAACTATGACAAGATTCTTTTACGAAAAAGAGTATTTAAAGAAAGAAGATCTGATTTATTTATATAATGAATTACAAGAGGTATTTCAAACAAATAAGAGTGTAGAAAATTTTCCCAATCAACTTTATTTGGTGGCTAGGCCACTTGAACGCAATGAGAAAACCATAGATCATATAAAAATTTAATAGTACATATATGCTATCTTTTTGCGTTGTTAAATAATACAAAGATTAATTCTTTTAAGTTTGACATAGAATATTATTTAGATTCTGTAGGTATAACTAATGAAGGCTTAATATGATGGCAAATCTTGGTGTAACTACAACAGCAAGAGCAATAGATCGAAAGAAAAAGCATATTATGGATGCTCATGAGAAATATGTAAAAAACACTCTTTTAAAATATTTAGAAAAAGCTTTCATGCTGAATATTGATGATTATCACAATATTTATGTACTATAGCAGCCTAACTCTATTAACACATCTATTTCAATACACATGATAACAAATTCTGGCAAATCTGTGTTCTATATCATCAATATCTTGTAACGAGGTGCTCAATTCAAAAATCCTTGATGATGAATTAATTATAAGACATCTTAACGAACGATTCATCATTAATCTCAGTATTTCTTATCATAAGCGTAATCAAGATTATCCCTTAAACTGTAGATTTTAGCAGGCAAATTTGGCTACTAAAATTTTAAATTTTTGTTTATAATCTAATTTTGT